GGAGTGTGGCTAGGACGGTCTGCATTGGGGGATGGGAGACTGACTGATGGAGAATACCTGAGCCTGTAACATGAGAACCCAGGAGGGGGCTGGGGCCAGGTGACACCTTTGCCTGGGGAAACTGAACAAAGGCTGTGGGAGGGGTCACTGAAGGCAGAGGCTGGGAAGCTGGCTGGTGAGGTGGCTGAGAGGCAGATGGGGCTCTGACCTCCCAGGGGGGCTGTGGTGCCCGGGGACCCCAAGATGGACCTAACTGAGGGGGGACCTGTTGTCTGTGCCTGCAAGACCTGTCTTGGACTGTGTTCCTGTCATCTAAATAAACCTTCTGCTTTACTGGCTGGCTGAGAGTCATGGTGAATCACAGGAAGCCGGGGGTGCAGGGCCCTGAGTCCCCCACACTCCGAGACACCCCCATCCCCAATGTAACTCCCCTGCAACATTCCCAGGTCAAATCCGCCCCGCTCCTGCCCCAGGCCCGGCCCGGCGGTGAAACGAGGCTTCCTGCAGGAACTGGAGTTGCTTGGTTAATTAACGCAGCCAGGAACAAGCCCGGGGACGTCGCAGGGACCGGTCTGACCGGGTTCCAGACGCCGAGCCGGTGAAGCCGGAGAGCCAGCGGAGAGCCAGCCCTGGCCTGGGGCCGGGTGGGAGCCGGCGCCCCCTAGAGGGGACAAGCCCCTGCCCCATTCCCCGCCCCCCCTGAGCCAGCCAGTCTGTCTGGGAGGGTGACGGAATTGCAGACCCCACCTCCCCCCGAATCCAATTCCCACCCTCTGCCCCCCCACCTTAGCTAGGGGAGGAGCGACTTCTCTCCCTCCCCCCCGTTGCCAGGGTTGCATCCGGCCAATAAGACGCCATTCAGCTCAGGTCCAAAGTAAGTCGTTTATTGGGGGGGTCACACACACAGGGGCTGGCGGGGGAGCAGCTGGGAGCAGGGTTCATGGGGGGGCGGGAAGTGGGAGTAGCAGGGACTGGGGGGGCAGGGGGCAGTGGGGAGCGGTCAGCGCCCAACACCAGCCCCACCACCATTACCACCAGACAAACTGCAGCATTTGAAGTAGACGTCGTTCAGGGCCGTGTCGTCCCCTTTGCCCTGGGGGGCCTCCACCTTGGTGGCGATGGTGCAGATGCCCCGCGGGCCGCAGGAGCGGCTCTGGGGGCCCCACTTGCCCCAACACCGCCCGTCCCCCCTCAGCTCTGCCCCGCCCGTGCAGACGAACTCGATGTTGTTGGCGGCCGTGTCGTCCTTGAGGCCCTGGCAGGGCTCCACCCGCAGCCGGAACTGGGTCAGCCGCTGCCCCGAGGGGCATTTCTTCACTAGGCCCCACAAGCCCCACCTGGGAGGAGAGAACGGGTCAGCTGGGCACGGCCCACAGGTGGTGCTGCCTTCCCCCCAACCTCTGCCACTCGGGGCTGGGAGCTGCTGCCCTAGTATCCCACCTCTGCCACCACTAACCCACTGTCAATACCATGATCCCACCCCTGCCCCCATTAACCCACTGCCAATACCACGATCCCACCGCTAACACCACTAACCCGCTGTCAAAGCACTATCCCACCACTGCCACCAGTAACCCACTGTCAATACCACAATCCCTCCCCTGCCACCACTAACCCACTGTCAATACCATGATCCCTCTCCTGCCACCACTAACCCGCTGTCAAAGCACTATCCCACCACTGCCACCACTAACCCACTGTCAATACCATGATCCAATCCCTGCCACCACGAACCCACTGTCAATACCATGATCCGATCCCTGCCACCACTAACGCACTGTCAATACCATCATCCCTCCCCTGCCACCACTAACCCACTGTCAATACCGCGATCCCTCCCCTGCCGCCACTAACCCACTGTCAATACCACGATCCCACCGCTAACACCACTAACCCACTGTCAATACCGTGATCCCACCTCCGCCACCACTAACCCACTGACAATACCACGATCCCACCTCTGCCACCACTAACCCACTGACAATACCACGATCCCACTACTCTCACCACTAACCCACTGCTGACACTGACGTCCCACCGTCGATGCCACCCTCCCATTTCTGCCACTGCTAACCCCCCGCCGACCCCAGCTCCGTTGGTGACACCCCTATTCCACTAGTGCGCACGGAGCCCGGTGCCCCCTCTGCCAGGTGCCCGCACCCTCCGTTGGGCCCCTCCCCACGGTACTCACGGCCCCACATTGGACTGGATCGTGCTGTCGTCGGAGCAGAGCAGCCGGATCCCGTTCAGCGCTGTGTCGTCCCCGGCGAGCTGGGGCAGCTCCACCTGCAACGGGTCATCGGGGGGGAACAAGCCTGGGCATTACAGACTGGTCCCCATCACTTCAGTACAAGGAGACGGGGGGCAGAGGGGCGTGGGGAGGGGGAAATTGAGCAGAGGGGCTCAGGGCTGTGGGGCAGGGGGATCTGGGTTGGAAGGAGGGCAGAGGGAGCCAGGCTGGGGAAGGGGACAGGGGCTGTGGGGAGGGTGAAAGGGGCAGGGTATAGGACAGGGGGGAGCCGGGCTGGAGAAGGGGGCAGGGGATGTGGGGAGGCTGAAGGGGGCAGGGAGCAGGACAGGGGGAGCCGGGCTGGGGAAGGGGGCAGGGGGAGCCCGGCTGGGGAAGGGGACAGGGGATGTGGGGAGGGTGAAGGGGGCAGGGTATAGGACAGGGGGGAGCCGGGCTGGGGAAGGGGGCAGGGGATGTGGGGAGGGTGAAGGGGGCAGGGTGTAGGACAGGGGGGAGCCGGGCTGGGGAAGGGGGCAGGGGCTGTGGGGAGGATGAAGGGGGCAGGGAGTGGAGCAGAGGGGAGCCCGGCTGGGGAAGGG